TAGTCTAATTAGGCTTAAAAGATTCGTATCGTGAATTTCGTCTAAACTGTGTAATTAGTTTTATTTTTTATTTATATTTAATGCTTCATGCATGCGTCCAAAGATTCGATGTGACGGGGAATCTTGAAAAATTTTGCAAAATTTTAGGAACTAAACAGGCACATAGTACACGGCTATCTTCCCCCAAAAGTTTCCAGATTTCGTCCTACTCCACTCTCTAGCTACGCCCTTCCTTGTAAAATAAAATACGCGCCCTTGCTTCCACCTGATCTACTTTCCCAAGAGCGCAGCTACGCCCGCGCCGGCACGCAGCCAGCCATGGCCATCAAAGATGAGCAGCAGCCGCTGCACATCCTCTTCTTACCGTTCCTCGCGCCGGGGCACCTCATCCCGATGTTAGGATCCCGAACTCGGCGAGAGGAGGAAGACAATACACACGCGAACACGAAGTGGACACACGCGAATTGGTGCTGCGAAACGGCAATGTTTTCTGTTGCTTGTTCTCTTTATTTAAAGGAAGTACATGCATGATTATATGGAAACAAATGACCGAGCTAATACTCGCCGTAGCAAAATGGCGTAGTAGAGCACCGGAATCAGATGATCGTGGGGACGGCGAGAAGCATCATGCGCGCGCGTGGTGTGCCCGGACACTTCTGGGGGGAGGCGGTGCACACCGCCGTGTACCCCCTCAACCGGGCACCGACGGCCGCACTCAACGGGAAGACCCCATACCAGGCGTGGTATGGGAAGCAACCCCCCGTGCACTTTCTGAAAGTGTTCAGATGCGTCGCCTACATCAAGCGTCTTCGTCCGCACCTCACCAAGCTCGACGACCGTGGCCAGAAGGTCGTCTTCATTGGCTACCAGAGCGGGTCTAAAGCATATCGCGTCTACGACCCCACGACGGAACGAGTCCACATCTCGTGCGACGCGATCTTCGACGAAAGCGCGCGCTGGGACTGGGAAGACACCTCCATCGACCTCGACCTGGAGCCCTTCACCATCGAGGAGGAGTACGAACTCCAGCATCGTACTACTGGTGTACTGCCGTCGGATGCATCACTGTCGGCACCTGCGACACCGTCACCGCCCAGAAGTCTTTTGCGCCTGCTACATCGCCTGTACCAGCTACATCCACCGATACACCGTCGCCACGTACTCCGATCGCTCCCACAGGGATGCAGGTCGAGTTTGCGACGCCTCTCAGCGACGATCCCCACCTCGACGCTGATGATGACGAGGACGTGGAGCATAGGTACAGGAGGCTGGACAATATCCTCGGAACGGATACTGTTCTAGGTCTGGCAAACCGCGACGCCGTTGAAGCTAAACTCCATGTAGTCAGCGTGGAGGAGCCTAGGTCGCTGAAAGAAGCCGACGGCGACCCCAACTGGGTTGCTGCGATGGAGGAGGAGATGAAGTCGATCCGCGATAATGAAACTTGGTCGCTGGTGGAGCTTCCACGTGGACACCGCGCCATCGGGCTCAAATGGGTGTATAAAGTCAAGCGCGACAAGAACGGGAACATCGCCTAGTACAAGGCCCGCCTCGTCGCCAAGGGGTACGTACAGCGCCCCAGCATCGACTTTGAAGAGGTGTTCGCCCCCGTTGCCCGGCTAGAGTCAGTGCGGCTGTTGCTCGCCATCGTAGCGCATTTCAGCTGGGGCGTCCATCACATGGACGTGAAATCGGCGTTCTTGAACGGGGAGCTCCAGGAGGAAGTGTACGTTCAGCAACCTCCTGGCTTCGTCGACGACAAGCACAAGTACAAGGTGCTTCGACTTCACAAGGCGTTGTACGGACTTCGCCAAGCTCCGCGCGCCTGGAACCAGAAGCTCGACGCCGAGCTGCTATCGCTCGGGTTCACGCGCTGTGTCGATGAGCACGGGATGTATACCCATGGCGAAGGAGGAGGACGCCTGATCGTGGGCGTGTACGTCGATGACCTAATTATCACAGGTGGTGATGCAGGTGTCGTGGCGAAGTTCAAGATGCAGATGCAGAACATCTTCCGCATGAGTGATCTTGGGCTCCTCTCCTATTACCTTGGCCTCGAGGTCACCCAGGGAGCTCAAGGGATCACGCTCCGCCAAAGTGCCTACGCCACCAATATTCTCGAGAAGGCGGGGCTGGCTGGATGCAATGCCAGCATCACACCCATGGAGATGAGGCTGAAGCTGTTGAAGGAGGGTACGACGTCGAGCGTGGACGCCACCGAGTACCGCAGCCTCATTGGTAGCTTGAGGTACTTGTGCAACTCCAGGCTGGACCTGGCGTACTCGGTGGGTTACCTTAGCAGGTTCGTGGAGGCGCCGTGGCAAGAGCATCTCGTAGCTGTCAAGCGTGTCCTCCGCTATGTTGTGGGCATGGTGCTCTAGGGTCTGCACTACCACCCGAGAGGAGGCAAGGACACCGCGCCACACCTGATGGGCTATTCCGACAACAACTTGGCAGGAGATGTCAATGACAGGAAAAGCACCAGCAGGCTCATCTTCTTCCTCGCCGGCGGGCCTATTGCATGGCAGTCGGCGAAGCAAAAGGTGGTCGCACTATCCTCTTGCGAGGTGGAATACATTGCGGCTGCTGGAGCTGCATGTGAAGGGGTTTGGCTGGCTCGGCTGCTGGCTAAACTCATCGGAGGAGCTGTCATCGCGCCCAAGCTCAAGGTGGACAACAAGTCCACCATCGCACTTATGAAGAATCCTGTGCACCATGACCGGAGTAAGCACATAGATGTGAAGTTTCATTTCATCCAGGAATGCTGCGACAGGAAGCTGATCGACGTCGAGTTCGTCGACACTGAGCTGTAGTTGAGTGACATTCTCACGAAGGCGCTCGGACGCAGTCGGTTTCATGAACTCCGTGATGGGATCAGCATGAAAAAATTAATTTAGTTGCTCTAGGACTTAGGAGGAGATTGTTGAGATAAGTCCTGAGTTTCCTAACTATAGCAGGTAGAGGCGGTTAGCGCCATTAGCGGCCACGCAAGGATTGCGGCATGTCCTAGGTTGTTGGGATGGCAACTGCCTATCACGAACTGGACACCTTCACCTGCACAATACTCAACGAATTCGACCGAATTAAATTCACCTCCATTGTCAGTCCGCAGAACCTTCAGCTTCTTGCCCGTCTCTCGCTCGACGCGGGCCTGGAACTCCATGATCGCCGCCGGCGCGTCTGCCTTGGACCGCAAGAGTGTGAGCCACATATAGCGGCTCATATCATCTACCAGCAGCAGGAAGTAGGCGTTCCCGGCTGGTGTTGACGGCGTGATCGGTCCACATAAATCGCCATGGACAAGTTCAAGCTTCTCCTCCGCTCGAACTTTGCGGCTTGCGGGAACGAGGTGTGTTTCTGCTTTGCCAGCACACAATCTTCACAGACTTGATCTACATGATCAATCATCGACAGTCCGCGCACGAGCTCGTCGCGCCCCAGCTTCCTCAGCGCTTGGAAATTGAGGTGCCCATACCTCTCATGCCAGCGCCAAGCGACGTCGCTGGTGCGGGCTGTGAGACACACCGGCGCGATGACGTTCATGTCGAGGTAGTACAGGCGACTCGCCGAGTGATGCACCTTGGCGAGGAGTTGTCGCTGCAAGTCGTAGAGGCGCAGGATCCCGGACTCGATGTCGACCTTGAAGCCGTCCTCATCCATCTGCCCTAGGCTGACGATGTTGGTGGTGAGGCACGGGATGTAGTAGACACCGTCGAGGCGATGATGTTCCTCGTTCTTACAGGCGAAGAGGACAGTGCCCTTTCCCTCGATGGCGACCATCGATCCATCACCGAACTTGACAGTTCCGGCGACACCGGTGTTGAGCTCGGCGAAGACAGACCGTGACCCCATCATGTGGTTCGTCGCGCCGGTGTCAAGCACCCAGCGGCGAGGCCCCATGGCCTCCTTCTCCTCCTCGCTGAGGTGGAGGCAAACCTTCCGTTCGACGAGGTGAACACGGGCCTCAGCTTCCGTGGCGATGTACATCAGCGCCCCTTCTTCTTCTTCGGCCTACGCGACATGGGCCGCGCCCTTCTTCTTCCCGCGGCACTCCTTGGCCCAGTGGCCACTTTTGCCGTAGTTGTGGCAGAGAGTACCGGGTGGTGGCTTCCCGCCACCGGCATTTCCGGGGCCCGCGATCTGGCCGTCGCGGCCATCGCGCGACGAGGATCCCGCGGTGGTTGGAGCTGGAGCCGCCACCGGAGTTCTCCTGCTCACGGCGCGTCTTGCGTCGGGCTTCCTAGTCTTCCTCGCAGAGCGTCAGGCGCCCCATGACGTCCGTGACCTGCTTTGGCTTGGGGCGCTCATCGAACACGCGCAGCCGTCCAACCACCTCCTCGATGGTGACCTTGTTCAGATCAAGGAACATCTCGAGGGAGACAGCGGCTTGGTTCAGCCTTTCAGGGACCACTTGCAGCAGCTTCTTCACTACCTCGGCGTTGGTGATGTTGTCGCCGAGAGAGCGGAGGTTGGTGGCGAGCGTGGTGATGCGGATGCCGAACTCGTTGACGCTCTCCCCTTCCTTGAAGGAGAGGTTTCTGAATTCCCGGTGAAGCTGCTGCGCGCTGGCGTCGCGCTCGCGTTCATCGCCGATCCGCAAGTTCTTGACCGTGTCCCACGCCTCTTTCACCGTGCGCTTGATGGCGAGGGTGCTCCAGAGCTCGGAGGGCACCGAGCGCAGAAGCCCGGCCATCGCCTGTCGGTCGTCGTGGTACTCATCTTCGTCGGGGTCCTCGGCGATGCCATGGTGGACGACATCCCAGACTCTGAGGGTCTGGAAGTTCACTTCCATGACCAGGCCCATTCCGGATAGTTTGTCCGGGTCAGCATCGGCCACGCAACGTTCGCCGATGGTCGCTCAATGATGCGCTCGACGACGCGCGACCCGGCGTCCCGGTTGCGCGAGCGGCGGCTGTGAGAGCGGCCACGGCGACGTGGCGGCGATTTCGACGGCTGGACCTTCTTCTCGCCGGAGGCGTCACCAGTCAGCAGCTTCTTGGATGGTGAGTGCGACATGGCGACGTCGGGTCCTGGCTCTGATACCAATTGTTAAGATCCCGAACTCGACGAGAGGAGGGAGACAATACGCACGCGAACACGAAGTGGACACACGCGAATTGGTAAACGGCAGCGTTTTCTGTTGCTTGTTCTCTTTATTTAAAGGAAGTACATGCATGATTATATGGAAACAAATGACCGAGCTAATCCCGGCATATTCGTGATAGGCAGTTGCCATCCCAACAACCTGGAACATGCCGCAATCCTTGCGTGGCCGCTAATGGCGCTAACCGCCTCTACCTGCTATAGTTAGGAAACTCAGGACTTATCTCAACACCCGATAGCCGACATGGCCACGCTCTTCGCCGCCGGAGGCGTCAAGCGCACCATCCTCACCACACCGATGAACGCCCAAGTCATCCGCTAGGCGGTGGACCGCGCCAACGACGCCTCCCACTGCACCGAGGGCGCCCTGGACATCGACATCGCCGTCGTGCCTTTCCCCGACGTCGGGCTGCCCCCCGGCGTCGAGTGCGGCCCGGCCCTTAATTCCATGGAGGACCGCGAAAAGTTTTTCCACGCTGTCCAGTTACTCAGTGAGCCGTTCGACCGGTTCTTGGCGGAGAATCGCCCCGACGCCGTCGTGAGCGACAGCTTCTTCAACTGGTCCGCCGACGCCGCCGCGGAGCATTGGGCCCCGCGGATAGTGTTCCTCGGCAGCAGCTTGTTCTCGCGGGCCTGCAGCGACACTACGGTGCGCAATAACCCCGTGGAGGCCGCCCCCCACGACCCGGACGCGCTCGTGCTGCTTCCGGGGCTGCCGCACCGCGTCGAGCTGAGGCGCGGCCAAATGATGGACCCCAAGAAGCGGCCGTTGCACTGGGCCTTCCTGCAGCGCGAAAACGCCGCGGACCAGAGGAGCTACGGCGAGGTGTTCAACAGCTTCCACGAGCTAGAACCGGACTACTTGGAGCACTACACCACGACGCTCGAGCGCCGCGCATGGCTCGTCGAGCCGGTCGCGCTCGCCAGCAAGGACGCGGCGACGAGGGGCGCCAGGGATGGCCCCTCGCCGGAGGCGGACGGCAGCAAGCATTGGTTCGACACCAAGCCGGAGGGCTCGGTGGTGTACGTATCCTTCGGCACGCTGTCCATTTCTCGCTGCCCGAGCAGCGTGAGCTCGCACGCGGCCTCGACCTGTCCGGCAAGAACTTCGTCTGGGTCATCCGCGGCGCGGACTTCGAGGAGTCGGAATGGATGCCCGACGGGTTTGTCAGCTCTAAACCGGTGTTCTTGACAGCCGGTGAGCTTGCAATCGTCAAATGCAAATCACAGAAGCACTCAAACACAACGTGAACACTTGGGACACTGGGTTTGGTGCTGCGAACTGCAAGCAGCGTTTTCTGTTCTTTCTCTTCTCTATTTATTCAGAATTACAGACTATCAGGACCACGCAGTGGTCAGGCGCGCACCGTGCGGCGAGCACGTCCATCCCCGTGCCCACGATGCCGCTCAAACACCGGTCATCCTCAGGACGTGCGAGCTACTCCCGCTGCTACTTCTACGCGAGATGGCAACCACAGATCAGTGCTCATCCGCATGCAAAACTGAATAAGAAACATGCAGTCCTAACTAACCGATCCGGGCAATGCGCTAGGATTACTACTAACATTTCTCCTCCTAATTCTTGCGCATGGCCTGAATGTTGATGATGCCGATCTTGGACCGCAGCTCGCAGAAACGAACACGCCCCAAAGCCTTTGTCAGGATGTCTGCCAGTTCCTCAACGGTCCCAATGGACTCAAGCATCACCCGGTTCTCCTCAATGCATTCTCTGATGTAATGATATCTTACGTCGATGTGTTTACTGCGGTCATGGAAAACTGGGTTCCTGCTCAGTTGAAGTGCAGACTCACTGTCAATTTTCAGACTGAAGGCCCTGTCCTTCTCACCTCTGAACTCGGCAAGCAGACGGGCCAACCAAACACCCTGGCAGGCTGCAGTGGTGGCAGCTATATACTCGGCTTCACAGGAAGATAAAGCCACCACCTTCTGCTTCTGAGACTGCCATGTGATGATGCTGGAGCCGAGGAAGAAGATGACTCCTGTGGTGCTCTTCCTTGTATCAATGTCACCGGCTAAGTCACTGTCACTATAGCCAATGAGATGAGCTCCCTTCTTCCTCTGATAATGGCAGCCAAAGTGCAAAGTTCCAGCAACATATCTCAGCACCCTTTTGACAGCCACCATGTGCTCTGTAGTTGGGTTCTCCATGAACCGACTAATGTACCCCACAGAGTAAGCCAAATCTGGCCTTGAATTCACCAAATACCTGAGAGAGCCCACAATGCTCCTGTATTTTGTGGCATCAATAGAAGGAGCAGAGCTGGACTTACTGAGTTTCAGTCGAGGTTCCATGGGGGTATGGCTTGGATTGCACCCTTCCAGCCCAGCAGTCTGGAGTATCTTCGCAGCATAGGCACTCTGACAGACTGAAATTCCTTCTTCAGACTGAATCACTTCCAGTCCGAGATAATACCGGAGAAGGCCAAGGTCGCTCATCCTGAAAGTCGCCTTCATCTCCTCCTTGAAGATGCTGATGTCGCCTGGATTGCCACCGGTGATCACCAGATCATCCACGTAAACGCCCACGATGAGGCGAGACGCCGCGGCCCATTCCGGAGAGGTAGACAAAGATGCTCGATGTGCTTCGCGTGAACCCGAGTTTGATCGAGGACTCATCGAGCTTGGAGTACCAAAGCGCTGCTTGGCTTGACGAAGTCCATAGAGAGCCTTGATCGGGTGCAGCACCTTCTTCTCTTGATTCTTCACCACGAACCCGCGGGTGCTCGACGTAGACATCCTCAAAAGCTCACCGTTCGCGAAGGCGGACTTGACGTCCATGTGATGGACTGCCCACCCCCCACTTGCGGCCGGCGCGCGAGCGCGGCCTTCGACTCGAAGCGAGCCACGGTAGCGCGAACACTTCATCAAAGTCAATGCCTTGGCGCCAGACGTATCCCTTGGCGACGAGCCGGGCCTTGAACTTGGTGACGAGCCGGCTTCATCCCGCTTCGTCTTGAAGACCCACTTGAGGCCGATCGGGCGACGCGCTGGTGGAGGATCCACGAGCTCCCAAGTGTCGTTCACCTCAATGGAAGTGAACTTCGTCGAGCATGGCATGGCGCCGATTCTCATGTTGCGGCGCCTCGAACGCGTCGTCGGCTCGGCTTCACTTGCAAGCGGCGTTGCTCCTCCGATTCACGTCGCGGCCGAGACCGGCGGCGTGGCCGGACCGAGCACATTGTCGACGTTGCGGTATCGCAGTGGGGCGTCGTCGTCGTGGTCCGCGTCCAGCAGCTGCGACGCGCCGGTGCCTGGTGGTGACACGAACTCCACTAGGTCTGGCTCAGGCTGAGGAGGCGTGCCCGGCGTCACGCTCCCAACACGAACACCGGCGCGGCGTGAACCAAATGAGGCGGTGATGAGGGAGCTCCAGCACCATGTCTTTGGTGAAGCTTCGGCCGAGAGACGCGGTGGTGTCGGAGATGTGGTAGCAGCTCCGCTTGCGTAGTCGAACTCTCTTTATTTAAAGTGAAGTCACTCACCTGCATTGCGTTGCCCACATGGCGCCGCCTCGAACACCAATCCCGGCTCACGCACGCATCACGGGGTCATAGACCTCAGTCATAGAGCCGGGTTCGTAGCCAACGAAGATTGTATTCGATCATCAAGTTTCTTCAGTTAGGCGTTGTCACCTTCATATCTGCCAACAACCGCAGTGCCGGAACCGGAACGCTACCCGCGAGCTTCGTGGGGTCTTGCCACCCACGCTCTTGGACGAAGAACGGTTGAGCAAGTAGACGGCCGTGGTGACCGCTTCCCCGAACTTGCCGGGGAGCCCTTTCGCCTTGAGCATCTTTGCGCGCGTTCCAACGACGGATTGGTTCCGCCGCTCCACGACGCCGCTCAGCCGTGAATTGACGATGAACACCCACCCTCGATGAAGTCGGTGGCGGCGAACTCACCGCGGTCTGCGAGGCAATGATTTCTTGCATGGCCGCTCTCGCCACCGCCGCTCGCCGCGCTTTTGAGGCGTCAAGCGGCGCACCACACATACCTCACCAAGCAACAGAAAGCCGGTTCCCGCTTGGGGTAGGCGGCGTGATTGGGCGCGAGATGTCGCCGTGAAAAGTCGCGGTGGCTCCGTCATCGTCCCGTAGCTTGCCGAGGGAACGGCGCGCGCCGCTGCCGACCGCGCCAACGCTCCACCACTGACATCACATGCCACGAGGGCGCCTTCCGCGGAATGCATCGAACAGGCGTGCGTACCCAAAGCTTCTTCCTCTCCGACGTCGACGCCGAGCACATGCGCCCCGGCGCGGTGGATCTTGTGCGGCGCTCCGTCGCCCTTTTCGCATGACCCCGCTTCAACATGGAGCCGGACCGCGAAAGTTATTCCACGCTTGTCGATGGCGCGATGTTCCCCGTCTTGCGGGAGTGAGGTGCCGACTTCGACCGGTTCTCGCCCGAACCTCCACGGCGGAGAATGTTGGAGAACGCGGACCTTGCCGGACGCGATCGCCCGTCGTGATCCGCGACAGCTTTGCCCTTCAAGATGGAGCTCCGCCGGCGCGGATCGGTGGTGGAGTCGCGGTCTTGGCTCCGCGGCGGGCAAAATCGATTTGGGGAAAAATCCTCCCCGCTCCAAGGAGCAGAGTTCCTCGGCAGGCTGCTCCTCTTCTTGCGGGCCTGCCCATGGCCTTTCGACACTACGGTGCGCAATAACCCCGTGGAGGCCGCCCCGTCCACGGCCCTGCCGCGTCCGCGTCCTCGTCCGCGACCCGGCTCGACGCCCGCCAGCCTCCGTGTACCGCTTCCCATTGCTCCTCCGTGGCGAGAGCTTGCCGCGCCAGATGGCACCGCGAGTCGAGCTGAGAGCGCGATGTCGAGGAGGGTCTCAATGATGACGACCCCGCTGACGCCGCCTTGTGAAGATATACGCCGTTGCACCTTCGGTTCCGCCTCGGGTCCCCGAGGATCGCCAGCGCGCACAATGTTGGACGATCGCAAAGCGCCTCGACGGACTCCCGTCGCGAACGCAGCTCACGGCGAGGCGCGTTCACTTCCGCACCTTCTTCACGCCGCTAGAACCGGATCGCCTCCGCGCCTCCTTGGCTACACGGCTTGGTCGCGGTGGGCACCATCTCCGACGCAGATCGCCTCCAGTGCGCTTCGGTCGTCGTGGAAGTCGACATCTTCGCCCTCGAGCTTTCCCTTGCATCTTCACGCATGGCCAGTCGTCGCGCGCGCGCCAGTTACTCGAGCGCGCTGCCGCGACGACCTCCCGTGGGCGCGTGTTCGCGGCGCGGCCATCATGGGCGAGTCCGAGGACGCCAGGGTGATCGACTTGAGACGGCGCGGCGCGTTGGTCTTGCTGCCGAACCGCTGCCCTTCTCCCTCGCGCGGGCGGCGGCGTGCGGCCTCGGCCTTCGGCGGCGACGCAGGTCCTCCTCTTGGTTCGATGCCAATTGTCACTAAACCGTGTTCTTGACAGCGGTGAGCTTGCAATCGCAAATGTCACGGTCAAACACAACGTAACACTTGGGATCCTTTGGTGCGCGAACACGCTGTTCCATTTCTCTATTTATTCAGAATTACGCTATCCGACCAGCGTGAGTCAGCGCAGCTCGCCCACGATGCCTCAACCTGTCCTCAGGCAAGAACTTCCCGCTGCTACTTCTACGGGATGGCAACCGATCGTGCGCATGCAAAACTGAATAAGAAACATGCAGTCCTAACTAACCGATCCGGGCAATGCGCTAGGATTACTACTAACAGGGTTCGCGGAGCTGATGGCGCGCGGCGAACGCGGCTTTATCATCCGGGGCTGGGCTCCGCAGATGCTGATCCTGTCCCACCCGGCAGTGGGCGGGTTCGTGAAGAACTGCGGATGGAACTCGACGCTGGAGGCCGTGAGCGCCGGCGTGCCTATGGTGACGTGGCCGCGCTACGCCGACCAGTTCTACAACGAGAAGCTGGTGGTGGAGCTGCTCAAGGTCGGTATCGTCGTGGGGTCCGTGGACTACGCGTCGAAGCTGGAGACACGGCGTGTGATCGGCGGCGAGGTGATCGCGGAGGCCATCGGGAGAGCGATGGGCGACGGCGAGGACGCGGAGGCAATACGGGTGAAGGTCAAGGAGCTCGGCGAGAAGGCTAGGCGCGCCGTGGCCAAGGGTGGGTCATCTTACAATGATGTCGGACGGTTAGTGGACGAGCTGATGGCTCGCAGGAGCTCCGTCAATGGCTGATTGTGTCATCGGTGGAAGCACGTTTGGAGTATAAAATGAATTGGGACAGTTTGGTAGGAAGGGTTGCCTTTCTTCTAGAAGGTGTCTCGGTCTGGGCGTCGGCAACTTTAGGCCACGATTATCTGTCATCTCAATATAAGCTCTCTCTTTTCAAAAAAATATGGAATAGTACTCTGACCGAAACATTTAAGCCCAGTCCGATAAGCCGTACTTTTTTTTTTTAAGCTGACGAACAGTATTTTTTTTACAACAAATCAATCAACACTACTTTTAGCCATAGCTTATCAACCAAGCGAAAAAAGCATCGGTCGCCGCCGGCATTGCAGGATATCGGCGGCTCGGCTCGTTAATATTACGAGCTAGAGGGGTAGCTCAGCTCGGCTCATTAGCGAGCTCAAGCTGGCTCGTTTAGCTCGCGAGCTATAAAAAAAATAGAGCACATATGTTTATAATGTTCATGCTATAATAATTCCAGAAGATAACGTCCATCATTATGTAACCATACATGATTAAAATATATCAGGTTCATCAAAAGTATTAACCATGCAACATAGCTGGTCCATCTATGATTCACGCAGTTTCAGCATACTTACTAGTTGTTTACCACCACAGACTTAGGAAAGTCCACAAATTTAATGTCAGCATCATCATCTTCTTCCTGAAAAATAATCTATAAATCAACATTTAAGTACCACAACAATTATAAAATAAAAATTCATATGAAACAGCTGAAAATAAGGATTACATATGAATGGAATAGGTGTACACTTCTAGGTCAGCATCATCATCTTCGAAATTCATGGTCGTGGGCTAATATGCCTCAGCTGGTTTGAGCTCATGAGCAGCTCGCGAGCTGGCTCGCTAAAACAGCGAGCTAGACTTCCAGCTCAGCTCGTGAAAAAGTTAAAACGAGCCGAGCCGAGCCGGACACGAGTCGAGCAAGTTGGCGAGCCACGAGTATTCTGTTCCTGACGGTCTTTAAACTAGCTGTCTCTATTCCAAAATAAATACACATCTCATTTTTGAGAAGTTAAAAACTTTTAAGTTTAACTAGAAAAGTAAAAAATAATATCATGAATAAGTTTATTATGAAAGTATATTTCATGCTCAATCTAATTACAGTTATTACATATTATAAGTATTAGTGTATTTTTTTATAAATTTAGTTAAACTTTAAAAAGTTTGACTCGTTGAGCGAGATGCGTATTTATTTTTGAACAAAAGAAGTATATTATAAGGTCAGTTTCAGTGAGAGGTTTCATCTTACAGTTTCCAAGACATGACAGTATTTACTGTGAATGAAACAGACTCTCTCAGTGCACACTTTTATTTCACTGTTTCACAGGCTACATGCAACATTAATTCCTATAAGGCGTTGTGATCAGTTGTGTCACCTGAACTATGTAGCTAATTTATATTTAAAAAAACTAACACATTAGAATATTACACTTTCACACAATATATTATATTATATATATTATTGTCATATTCATCGACATGCAACACATTACACTTTGCTCTCTTTTTTCTTTGTATTCGTCGACTTACAGTCTATAGAGACAAATAAACAAATGCAAAAAGAAAAAAATCTGAGAAATGGAGAAACATGAAAAGGGGCAGCTGGGCGGAATGGAAAAACATGAAGGGAGCAGGTGGGCCGTAGAGATTTGACGAAGGGGAAAGAGATTTGACGCGATGCATGGCTTCTTCACGAGCGCAGAGTGCGCCAGCGTTGTCGCAGACTCGCAGTTGTGCACAGCGGATCGGATGACACGAACCAAACCGGCTCAGTGCAAGTTTCATTCAGTTTCGACGCGTGCAAAACAACGCTGACGAGTTTCATGGCCACCAAACTCTAATTCTCTCTCTTCCCCTACATATAAAACATCATTTTTATAGACATGTCACTTTAATTAATGTCTATAAAACTCCCATGACATCTCCATTGAAAGTGGCCTAAGTTATTTTTTCTCTCGAATACGCAAAAGATTTACGTATCATTGTAATTAAGAAGAAGATGGGTTTAACCATACACACGACACGCTTGTAATAAGCGCCCTAAGAGGTCTTACAGTTTGACTGGACCTTCCTAGTAGACTGTTTCAATCTAGCCTAAGTTATAAAAAGTACTTTTTAATTTGATCGAATTAGGACACTTACGATGCAGAAACTACACTAGTTTCTATAGTTATTAATTACAGCCATGTAATCAATTTGTGGATGCGGCAAGCAATTTATTGAAGAGGGAAAAAAATGAGAAAACCATTTCTTGAGAAGAAAATCATGTCTACGTGTATATCGAGGTCGGAAGAAACTATGAGCTGAGCGTTGGGGGAGGCCAGCATCGTTTCCTGGACCCCGTGTTCGCGCTCGCCCGTCCCCTCCTGCGCGCTACGAGTCGGTTGTCCCTGTGATGCACGCCGCCAAAAAAAAAGTGCTTGCTTCGGCCGAACGACGAATGCCGGTACGTGGCCTTAAGGTACGGCGCAACGCCAACGAAGGAGACGGCTTCACGTGGTGCTTGCCCTCGTCGTAGTAGGCCGTCTTCACCGTGCACCCGCGTTCGGCGTAGCGGCAGTCGATGAGGATGGATCGGGCGGCGCACTCCATGCCAAGGCTACGCGCGGGCACAACCGGAGCACGGCACTTGTTCTTGTGGAAGCTTGTAGCGGCAGGACCCAATGAACCACTCAAGGAGATGCTCGCGTTCGCATGAGAGAAATAAAAATGGCTAGAGAATAGTAGCAACTAGAAGTATTCCCGATGATTCTCATCTCACTTCTAATATGAAATCAGAGAATTAGCGATATTCTCATCTTACTTCTAATATTAAATCAGAGTTTTTTTTTTCTGTTTTTTCTTTTTCTTTTTTGTATGATCTATTAATATATAGTATAAAAGATATATTAAACCAGGCTGTTTATTGGCCTTGGTACGGTCTCATTGTTTTCGTCAGTGTCAGGTTGCACTCGGTTCTCTTTGCTCGAATCAATTTGCCAACAGATCACGCTTTTTATTCTCACAAAAAGAAAACAGCATCGCTGTGGCCACGAGGGCCCCCAACGCTTGCACCTGCCAGCGCTGGAGTGGGCGACGAGCTCAAATGCCGCGGGGTGGTACGGCAACGCGCAGGAGCTGATGCAAATACGTGGACAATCCAGGTTCTCTGTAGTTCTTCTTTAGGAATGCCCGATACCATCCATTCACGATCCGACGGCTGCTGGACATCTCTGCTCTCCTAGTGCTAGATTACACAGCCCAAACGAGAAATTGCAGCCCACAGCTCAGGCCCACTTCACGGACAGAGGACACAGAACAGAGAACACACGTGCATTTACAGAGCAGTGCAGTATACTGTCACTGTAAGGATTTCACTTAAGTATTTTTAATAGTTCCATGCTAATAGATAATCTCCACCAATAACCACAAGTACAACATATAAAAATCAAAATAATCTCCACTCAAGCATTCAATTAGCACGCAGATGCTCATCAATCATCACAAAAGAACAAAATGCCCCGCCATAAGACATCAACTACTAAATTGAAGGCTTAAGCAAATATTGAAGAGCAGCGTCATCAATTTCACTAGGACCCTGCAAAGGCAAATGAAAGTTAGAAAAAAAGAGATATTGACCCTAGCTAAAATTGAAAAGGAGCAATACTGATCGTACCATCATCAAATCTGTGTAGCTAGTGAATGCAAAGGAATTCTGCTCCTTATTAGTACTATCCAACACTTGAGTTTCTACATCATCATCATTCAATTCATGGTGCAAAAAACATCCAAATATTATTTTTTAGCAAGAAGTATTAAATTAAGACACCATATTCCAAGTTTTTCGGAACATACTGTTCGGCTGGTATTAAAGTCGGCTGATAAGCCGGCTGAAGCTGTTTTGTTGTGAGAGAAAAATACTATAGATTCTAGCTGATAAGTTCAAATGAACAGTGGCACTTTTTTCTACTTTCTTTTCTTGTCAAGCCAACTTCTATGTCTCTTTGAACTTCTTGGTTGAACCTCTGTTTTCTTCAAGCATGCAGCACTAAACAATTCTTCATTTTGCTGAGCATTAGATTGGACATTATATGTATCACACAAGACACTTGTAGCTGCACTAAATTTGTCCTGTAGTTGTTTAGCAAGAAAATCAAGTGCATTGTCTACCAAAATGCAACATTCCAGATCGCTTGCAGCTGGATATGCCAAATTAAGAAATTTTTTAGACAAAAACTTGTAGCGAAGCATTGCATCTAACTTTGGGTCTTCAATTATGCTCTTTCCTTTGTTGTCTTGGATAGTTCCATACTTTGCTTCCCTTGTCCAACCCTTCAGCACATAATGGTTAGGCAATAACTTGATGTTCATCAAGTCAAGAACTTTCAAAGCATGGCTACACAATACACCGGTCCTTGCAAACTGCCCACAATTACATGAAGCTTTTTGCTCGTAAGGATCACCAACAACTACACGTTCTATTTCAGAACTTAAATCACCATCAGACCTCACAATTGCAACAACATATGTGTTATTTTCTTCCAATGCTCTAGTACATGCAGCCATGGATCTTTCAGTAAATATAGTTTTAGGCTGTTTTTCATTGTGTGCGGCTAGAAAAGCCTTAAATAGCCATTTGAAAGAGGCACATGTTTCATCAAATAGAAGAGCAGCTCTAAAAATGACAGTCTCCCTGAACTGATTGAATCCAACAAATGCACCGAAAGGCCTGTATTCTTTGTTTGTGCCAAAAGTAGTGTCAAATGTCACTACATCACCAAAATGAGCATAATCAATTAACATCTTACAGCCCTAAATATATTGGTTATGTGTTCTTCTGCATCCAATTGCATAGCATAGTGGAAAGAAGGGTTCTTGGACATCTTGTCTTGAAAATACTTTAACATGCTTCCTACATGACCATATGCCAACTCCCTTTGGCGCCTACCCTGCAAGTAATTTTTGTAAACACGACAAGTGTAGCTGAGATTCATTCGTCCTCC